GAGTAATGCAGAAAATACTTTGTTTGACGAACCGAAGGATACGTCCTCCACGATGTTTACTTTCTTTTCATTCATTAAATATCGTGCAAGCCCATATCGTATTGAGTTCATAGTGCTTTTACTGTACAGTGTTCCGTCTTTTTTTCTTGCATTAGCATAAAAATGTCTGAGTAGGTTGTCAAGTTCTACTTTGTTTATATTTTCAAACTCCGTAGGAAGTTCTTTTTCGGCACAATATTCTCTTAGTATTTTCACAGCTTGTTTAGTTGCCTTTTTTGTTGACTTTGAGTCCTTGTCTGCCAGCATTGACTCGATATCGACGTCATTTTTGCTGGCAAACCTTTCCATATTCGCTTTTTTACAAATAAGTTGAAAATTAGTGATGGGCGATTACCGATTACTTGGTATCGATACCACCCGATACCAGGCCCAAACAGGAAGTAGTCGATACTGCACGGTATCGAAAAATTCTATTCTCGCCGACAGAATAAATTATGAAAAAGGCGGGAAATTCTTTCTTTATGGATTAAAATGGCGGATCGATCAAATCGTTACTGTTAAAAATATGTAATTTTCTGAAAATATATTGCTACTGTTACAGTAGAAGGCTAATTCTTTAACAGTTGACTCTTTATTAAGTGACTTACATTTACTATTTTGAAAATTGGAGGAAGTAATCGTTTGGGTAATCGATACCTCGATACTTTAACCAAAAAGTAATCGGTATCGTATCGAAACCGATACTGGTGGTATCGCCCATCACTATTGAAAATACGAAAATATAAAAATAGCTAACAAATCGCGCGCTTTTAGGCATGTTCAAAGGTCGCATCTTCACGTGATAGCGCACGTGATTTTTTTTGTTATTCGCCGGTCGATAACGTATTATCTCCCTCTCGCGCTGTTGCGAGGGAGACAGTCTAATTTCGTCACTCTCACGTGATACGCTCTCGACCAATAAAACACTAGAAAAATGCGACTTTGACTATTGATATATAATAATTGTAATTATTAACCTAACTTTTTTTGTAAATTTGTATTGTGCAACGGCCCCTTTGGAAACAGCTCTTATCTATGCTGAAGGGCTACCGTTGTTTTTAATGAAGATTAAATAATAATAATAATAATTTAAGTAAAGTAACCGCACATTTCTTAGTCTACATCTATTTCAAATACAATACAAAATACAAATTTATTTAGAACCTCCCCTTAGAGCTTTTCAGGTCTAATTACAAGTTTATAAGTTACAATTTACAAGTAATGAGTTTATAAATTACAATATTTAGTATAGATATAAAATTGAGTGTATAAATTCAGAATTTAAAAAGTTATGTATTAGTTTTAAAAATTAGGCATTAAGAAGGCAGGTCTTTAATGACTGTTTAAAAGTATTCAATGAAGTACTCTCTCTAACATTGTTCGGTAAACTATTCCACAATTTAATAGCTCTGTATCCAAATGAACGTTGGGCAAAGCTTGTTCTACATTT